TTACCCATAGCTAGGGGAGAAGAAGAGGATGCATACCTTTCCCAAGGGTATTAGCACATAAATGAATGTAATGGATTCGACTGGAATTTGAACTTGGCTCTCCAATTCCTCAATCTGAGCCACTAGGGATTTTTAGTACTCACGCCTAACAATTGAATATCAATGTTATTATAACTTGGATATCATTTACCAAAAGTCGAAATATAACAGTTACAAGTGGTCTTCTTCTTCTGTGTCATATCCCTTCAGGATGTGGGTGATAATGACTCTCCTCAGCTTCCTATCCTTTACAGCTCTAAGCTACATTTGTCTTTTTGCTATTCCTCCTACACTCTGTTCTGTCATGCATTTAATCTACCAAATAAGCTTATAAAGCAAGCATATTTGATTCTGACAAATATGTTAATTTCTCTTTTTTCCTTGTTTTTTGGAACAGTATGATTCTTATTCTCAGACCATAGCTATGTTGGGAATTTAGGGTAAAAAATAAAATTCTTAAGAGTAAAAACATAAAAATCATTAAACAGAACATGGAAGCCCGAGTTTATTTTTTAAAGTGCATACTTCTCAAATTAGTTAAAGAGAGGGAGATAGAAAGAAAGAAAGAATAAAACAAAGAAAATTGTTTTAGCCTATCAATTTAAGAGTGGCAGAAAAAAAAGGAAAAAAGATCAAAGGGAATGCTTTTTCTTCAGTGCAACAATGGGTGATTCCAAAATGGTTTAAAGAAATTAAAATAAAAAAAAAAATGACTCAAGAAATTTATTAGCATTTAATGATATTGACACAGAAAAAAAAAAACAAGAAATAAACTAAAACAGGGAATATTTATAATAAAAAATAACAAATATAAGAAATATAGTTAAAGGATAATATAGATGTGATATACAATATTAAGGATTATGTTTTTAGCTTGGCACAATTGTACATGTACAGAATGATTATGACAAGTAACTTATATCATTCCATGATTTTTATATAGTGTAGTATTTGTGCTTTCTACCTAATTTGATACAAGTTTTTACCAGTTTTATTTTATAATGTTCTTGCCATTTGCCTGCTAACTTTCAGGGGTAATTTACACACACACACACACACACTAGTCAAATATGTGTATCCACTAAAAAATAACATTTAAAGTGATAAAAATCTGTTGGATTAATAAATAAAAAATCCATTACTTTATTAGAAATTACACATGTTCTGATTCTTTGTAGATCAGTTGGTCAGAGCACACTGGATCTAACAGTAGCTTCCTCTGCCAAGAGGTACACAGGTTCAAATCCTGATGACACAACCATTTACTCCTGTCTCAATACTAAGTCTGATCAGTTCAATATGGTCAAATTGGCAGTTGATCTCAAAAAAGACCTACAGTCTGTTGCTAACTGGGGCAAAGAAAGGCTTGTTAATTTTAATGCCTCTAAACAAAATTGCCTTCTATTAATTATCTGAAAGACCCCTTTTTGGCTTCCATCTATATGGCTAATGCTAACCTCCAAGATAGTGACTTGTTGTGCCTTCTTGGATTAACATTTTCAGCTGACATGAAGTGGAAAAATTACATTGAATCCATTGCTAGGTCAGGTGCTAAGAAAGTTAGTTCGCTGTGTCGTTCTAGACAATTTTTCTCTCCAGAATCCATCTTACATATTTATAAGTCTAACATTCACCCATGCTTTGAATATGCCACATACAGTCCAGTGTTTCTGATATATATATATATATATATATATATATATATATATATATATATATATATATATATACACTGATGAGCTGTGATACAGTGAAACAGGCCTGTATGTGGATGATTATACATATATATATATATATATATATATATATATATATATATATATTCTTGATAAAATCCAAAAAAGAATCAGCAATATTACTGGTCTTGACCTAGCATCTCATCTTCAGTCACTTTTCCACCACTATAAAGTTGCTTCCCTGCACCTTTTCTATAAATAATTTCATGGTAATTGTTTAGATGAGCTAAACTTAAGCTTAACTTCATAAACTCTAAGCACTATGGTGCCTAGAGTTTATGAATTTAAGCACAGTATAAGATCGGTAACAATGTCTCATCAATTTACAGTTGAATTGACTATACATAACTGTAAGTTTTATGCTGATAGTTTCTTTTCTCCCACTTCTTGCTTGTGGAACTCTCTTCTAGCTTCATGCTTTTCATCCAAATTTGATCTTCAAGAATTTAAATGCAATGTCAATGGTTATCAACTGTCTTCCTCATATTCTCTTCTATTGTTCTTGCTCCTTCATAATGTTTCTATTTTTTAATTCTTCCACACCAAGTAACCCCTTGTGCCTTAGTGGCTTTACTGCCTTGTTTTCGTTAAATTTGATTAAAAAAAAAAGTATTTGAACTTGATAAAAATTCAGATTGAAGTGTGCTTCCCAAAGTGAACTTAAATAAAAATAAGATTGGAAACTTTTAGTACCATGATCTAAACTTGGTACCTCTCACTCACTATGAATGGAATGCTTATATCCAGTTTGTCTCAAAAGATGGAGGAATTTCTGAATCACTTGATTTAGGTCAACTAGCAGTAACCATGAAAATTTCACAGTTTTCCTATTTGAATTTTTTGATGAATCATAATTCTTAATCTGATGATTGAATGATCTCCTTGAGTGTTACCACAGCTATAAAATATTTGTAGAAATTCCTTTATTCCAATATTAAATATTTGAGCATAACATCTTTAACAAAATTTTTGTCATATAATCATAAGTATGAATGTAAGCAATTATTTAAAGAAGTAAACTAACAAGAATCTTTCATTTCATTGAAGCAGACATGAAATGTTAAACCCATGAGAGTGTTATTATTGCATTTATTTTCCCTTCTTTCTTTTCTACTTTCTTTCCCTGATTCTTTCTTCTTATTATGCATGCTCTCCTTTTCTCACTAAAACCAAACATTCTCTGATATACCTTATCCTTTGATCTCATCTTTTCTTATGATCAAAGCAAAATGGTCTATTATTTATCTGAGGCAATGTCAGGGTATGATGTATGAACTAACTGACTTACTAACTAATGGAAAAACAAGTGCATATATTTCATCAGCCCAACTTAAAAAGAAAATGTAAATATATGTTTAAATCAAGAAATAAATATATGCGTGATTACTTGGATGATCATCAGGTGTTGAGTGCTAGATTTTAAATTGGTACCAAGTGATATAAAATTTCTTGTTATTATTGATAACACTGTTGTGTTGCTGTCCATTAGTATCTCCATTTACGCGCGCACACACACACACACACACACACATATCACATATCATATATCACATATCATTTTATCACATATGTGATAAAATGAAATTTTAAGGTATGCTATATTTATGGGTTTAAGTGGATCATAGAGCATATGAAATATGAAAGTGGACATTGAGGTCAACACCTACAGGTGACAGTCTCATACTTGAATGCAATAGTCAGGCCATATGTACTGTTTTTTTGTTTGACTATTTATATATACAGGTCAGAGATGCATTGTATTATTCTAACAGTTATTTTGGTGGATGGAAACGGTTATGTTTCAAATTATTAAGTGGAAATTATTGTGGATGCAGATGCAGATTTTGGCCATTTATAGTGTTTCTTAATTTTTTATTCATCACTCATTATTTTATTGTTATTATTACGTTTAATTGTGTTTATGTGTGAGTTTATGGTTAATTTGTTTAATAATTACATAATTTATTTATTGGTTTCGATTAATTTATTTTACTTATTTATTTTATTTTATTTTTATTTATTTATTTTTGTTTATACTTGTTCATTTTTAGTTTTCAATTCTTAAGTAACATAGTAAAAATTTGTTTCTGTGTCTGCATTTTGAGATGAGTTCTGATTATTTATTTAGTAGTTTGTGTTGATCTGGGAAGTTAATTATAGCTACATATATATATATATAAATATATATATATATATATGTACAGCTCCAAGCTGGAGATTGGGCCTAGGTAAACAACTGGTGCCCAATAAACAAATGCTTAAGGTAGATGGAGCTCAACAGCCCAGGAATACAGTCCATCTAGAGGAAGGAAAAAAATTTCTGCTGCCTTGAGGTTATATTCAAACACAGACAAGGCTATGGAAGTAAATGCAATCAGAAAACCCAGAGTTGAGCCTTGAAGCTGGTTGATAACATTGATAACTTTCCATCGACTCCTGCAGCCACAGTGGCCCTAGATGTAATGTGCTGTATTTCTTTAGAGCATGTTGGTACAGCTGGGAGGCGGATGGTCATGTACTCAGGGCAGCATACAGTCTCTATATACTATCACCCAGACCTTTGCCCTGAATAGTTTGTTAACTCTAGTGTTACTACCAAAGTACTGAGGTGTTACTGATGCCTTTATATATATATATATATATATATATATATATATATATATATATGAAAACAAAAAAAATGGAATCACCACTGGCTTTAGCATATAAGGGTCTAGCCACTCAGTTCTTAAAACTGAATAACAAGACTACTCACAAATATGATTTGATTATAGTTATGATGGCTTGTGCTGAACCAACCATGCTTTTTGGAAGAGCCGAATACAGAGAACTGGTGTATAGTGTCTAACAAGATTCCCAAACGATCTTCTTCAGGTTTCAGGTTTTCCTTTTCCCAGACTTGTTGCCACTGAAGGCTATAGGACACATGCTGTCCTGCTATTTATCCATAGCTGGGGGAGAAGAGATGGATTCATACCTTTACCATGGGTATTTGCATGTAGGCGAATATTATGAACCCAACTGGAATTTGAACTCACTTCTCCACTTCCTCAAACCAGACTGGTATTCATTACTCCACTGTGCCTACACACACACACACACACACACACACACACACACACACATACATATATATACATATATATATGTATATCAAACTACTCAAATTGTCTACATATTTGAATCATATGTTTCTTGTCATTGGATCAAGGTTGTAAATTATGAATGACGATAAGCATTAATGTGGATACCATTGATCTACTAGCGTTTAAGGGGAAGGACCTCATCATCTGTGATCTGTTTGGTGGCTCTTCTCATGCAGTGAGTGGGCAATCATTAATATATATATATGTGTGTGTGTGTTTAAGTCAAATTTGAAGTCAGCAGTGATCGACAATAACTGCCAGTTTCATGCACATTTATGCAATCATCAGGCATTCGATAGCATGTGATAATAGAACTTTTATATTCGCATGCAAGTCCAAGATGGTAAGCAAACCAAACTCACCAGGAGCAATCTTCTCTGGCCAAGATCAAAATAGCCGAGAAAAAAAAACAAAAAATTAAAAACACCAGAAATGGTTTACTGGTGCAGCAAAAAAA